GTTTATGTGGGATTTTCTATCCATATTAAACTAAATTGTGCATTTTCTTAAGTATGTACTAGCATTGATTTTTGCTTTAAAAGCGTACTTACCGCACTGAAAACACTTTGTAATACTTCTGCTGCTTATTTTATTCGTTCATGTATTAAAATAAAGAATTAATTTTTCTGCGTATTAAAAGATAGGACTAATAACTAATAACTCCACTCTATTTTTTTTTCATCACTTCGCCAGATTTTACTTACACTCCCCCCCTTAAGTTAATTAATCGGCCCCCTAGTGAGAGGCACGGGGAACACAACGCCTTCTGGGTTATCCGTGTCCTCTTCTTGTAGTGCATGAAGTTTGCTTATGTGTTAGTTAGCATGCGGCATTAGAAAAGAGTTACAGTTCTGGCGAAATCGTACCCTCTCACTCAATTTTCATACCCACAGTCAAATCTGAAGGATGCCGCATTGTTTACACTTTTATGACGAGCACTTGTGCTCAGTATTTACTTATTATTGTTTTTATTTTCGCAACTCTCTTACTAAGACTCCTTACTGCATATAATTAGCGACAGATTGAATTTTAAGGGTATTTCATCAATAACCAGTGCATGTGAAAGGAAAATTATATGGTCACCCGGCGGGGCGCTGGGAACGCTGGGAAGGGGCTTCATTTCCGGCCTACTGTGTTTGCTACACGTACACGCGCACGGTAGGACTAAATCCTGGTCTCAAACGTGCCACTTAATTTGAGTCGATTAATTGATGAGTTCGGCACTCCAGGAGTACAAGGTCCAGGTTAAACCTACTCCTAGCTTGTTTTCCATTTACATGGGCAAACCGGTCATGCAGTTCACAGTTTGGGTTAATGGTAAACAAAATTCAGAAAAGGTAAATTTCCTCCGGAATAGCGTTTACCATTTGCACAAACCAGTTCCATTTAAGGGAAAACGGCTGAGAAAGCCTGAAACTGGTATGGTATTAAATACGACTTTTTCAATAGAACACGAATTTCCATCCGGAAAAACAGCATTACCTTTTCAGATATTCCCTTACTCCTGACAACGACTAATTCACATAATGATCACATTATAATAGAATATAGGGTTGTTTATCATTAACAAAATGTTTCCGGAAAATCCAGTCGGAGAGTAAATTAAACAGGATTTTTAGGGTCATTCCAGTGGAAAATTGAAAACCCTATATTCTATTATAATATGATCATTACTGAATTAGTCGTGGTCAATGTCAGATTCATTTCATCATTCTAGTATCCCTAATGAGTAATTAA